GACAACACACATATGCAGTGGTGGGATTCAAATAATTTAACAACCGGTTCGCTGCCCTAATGATTTCTTCCAACAACCAGTTCACCAAACTGCTCAGAAAGTTAACAACCGGTTCTCCCGAAGTGGTGCGAACCGGCTGAATCCCACCACTGCATATATGTATATAAACACACACACACATGCATATAAACAAGTCCCAAGTTTGAAAATATTCTGTGCCTTCTTTTTCTTTTATCTTCAATGTTGGTCTGTCGATTTCTGCAGAGTCCAATATTTTTCTAATTATATCTTCTTCCGCAGGTGTTTCCTCGCTTTCCCAAAGTTGTGCAAATACAGTTATTGGTGCTGTTAAACATGCAATATCAAATATACATTCCCTTTATCACATTTTTCTGGCATTATGCCTAACAAAATTAACTCTGGTTTACAATCTATATGCTGTCTTAACATTTTTTCTAACCAAGTATGCACTTTTCTCCATATATATATATATATTTTGCTTTTGGGCAAATTCACCAAGGGTGTATTGTTTTTATAATACAGGTGTCAGGTTTCGATGTCATCTCAAATAAATTGCACTCCCAAACAATTAATCTTTGCTGAAATAGTCTATTTATTGAGTACGACAGATCTGGCCCCGACTTTGTCGTAGCCGATACTAACCCTCTGACCCGCAAACCCTTCCCTTTCTGTTCCCCAATTCTCATCTTCTCATTGGCCATCTTCCAAGTCAGTCTCCCCAGCTTCTGACCTCAGCCCACAGGAATGTTTTCCCCCCATCCCATCTCCTAGGGGATATTATCTACAGAGAAAATAAGTAGGTAAAAAGTCAAGCCTCGTCTTTTTATGGCAGCATCAGAATGCTGACAACAGGTAGTACTATGGAAACTAATCAAGGAGAGAACAATTAATCAGTGGAACAACTTTGTCTCCAGAAATTGTGGGTTCTCCATCACTGGAAGTTTTTCAAGAAGAGATTGGACAGCCATTTGTCTGAAATGGTATAGGGCCGTGATGGTGAAACTATGGCACAGGTGCCACAGTGGCACACGGAGCCTTATCAGTGGGCAAGCAAGCGTTGCCATAGCTCAGCTGCAGCGCGCATGAGTGCGCCGGCCAGCTAGTTTTTGGACCTTTCGGTCCCAATGGAAGTTGGGAAATGGGCTGTTTCCAGCCTCTGGGAGGTGGGAGGGAGGGTGGGGAAGGCTGTTTTCACCCTCCCCAGGCTCTTAGAAAACCTCTGGAGCCTGGGGAGGGTAAAAACGGGCCTTCTGGGCCCACTGTGCCATCACGTACTAAAAGCAGGGGGGCACACATGCGCAGGGGCGGGATTATGGGTGTGAGCACACACGTGGGTGACCTCCCCGCACTCCCCCCCGATTTTGGCACACGATGGCAAAAAGGTTAGCCATCCCTGGTATACGGTTTCCAGCCTGAGCAGGGGGTTGGACTAGAAAACCTCCAAGGCCCCTTCCAACTCTTATTATTCTGTAGTCCTTAACTTACAACCATTCACTTGGCAACTGAAGTTGAAACAGCCCTGAAAAAAGTGATCTTTGACCAGTGATGGGTTCCTCCCGGTTCGGTCTGATTTGGCCGAGCCGGTAGCGGTGACGATATGACGTCACCGAACCGGTTCTCCCCCATTCCCACCCCTCACCCACGTTATTCTTACCTTTTATTTGGCCCCACCCCCAATCTATTGCTGCCTCCTGAGTCCCAGCTGATGACTAGAGGGAAAAAAAACTCTTGCCGCAGGGCTTCAAAGGGCTGTCCTACAGCTGATCAGTGTTAAAAGCAAACAAATGAGTCGGGTCGTAAGTGCGAGGACCTTCCAGAAATGACTCTGAACAGCTAGCCACGCCCACCTAGTCACACATGACCTCCAAGCCACACCCACAAAATAAGCCACGCCCACAGAACCGGTAGTAAAAAAATTTAGAACCCACCCCTGCCTTTGACCATTAGTCACGCTTACAACTGTTTGCAGCATTCCCATGGTGATGTGATTAAAATTCAGATGCTTGACAACTGGCATGTACTTATGACGGTTGCAATGTCCCGGGCAGTGGTGAAATCCAATTTTTTTTTTACTCCCGGTTCTGTGGGTGTGGCTTGGTGGGCGTGGCAGGTTAAGGATAGTGCAAAATCTCCATTCCCACCCCACTCCAGAGGAAGGATACTGCAAAATCCCCATTCCCACCCTACTCTCCAAACTACTCAAAATTTCCGCTACCGGTTCTCCAGAACCTGCTGGATTTCACCCCTGGTCCCGAGGACACACAGCCCCCTTTTGCGACCTCCTGACAAGCAAAGTCAATGCGGAAGCCAGATTGTCTTAACTACGGTGTTACTAAGTTAACAGCTCCTGTGTTACACTTAAGAGCTGCGGCCAGAAAGGTAGAAAAATGGGGCAAAACCCACTTAACAACTGTCTCGCTTAACAACATGCGTTTTTGGCTCAGTTGTGGTCATAAGTGGAGGACTTCTTGTATTGACGTTGTAGACATTTTATTGATACCCCTTTCGACCCCTGGCCATTTTTGACCCCCATCAATCCTTGGGGGGGGTCAGTACTGACAACCAATATAAAACTTTTGCACCCTGCCTTGTATTTCATAATAAATAGATAAATAAAAACATGTTAGCCATAGCTTCTTCTGCTATTGTTCATAAACCATTTATGCTTCATTGCAACAGCCTGCCTGATCTCTATTCCACGCTGGTTTTATGACCGCAATCAAGATTTGATTGACGGAGTGATATTTGTATTATTAAAGACCTCTCAGAGAAATTGCTTCTTCATTGCATTGTGCAGGAATAATACCTTGAGTATATTTTTTTAAATTTGATTTATATGCCGCCCTTCTCCAGAGACTCAGGGCGGCTTACAATGCGTTAAGCAATAGCCTTCATCCTTTTGTATATTTATACAAAGTCAGCTTATTGCCCCCACAAACTGGGTCCTCATTTTACCTACCTTAGAAAGGATGGAAGGCTGAGTCAACCTTGAGCCTGGTGAGATTCGAACTAGCAGTAATTGCAGGCAGCTGAATGATAATAACAGGCTATTAGTCTGCTGCGCCACCAGGCTCTTGAAGTCCAAACATCTTAATGTTTGCTGGTTGGGAAATTCTGAGGATTAATTTTAAACTTTCCAAGTTTGAAAAACTTTCTTTAAAGTGTGTAGGTCAATGGTGGATTGCTCTTGGTTCGCACCGGTTCACAAGAACTGGTAGTAAAAATTTGTAGTGGTTCAGAGAACCGGTAATAACATTGGCTGGCCATGCCTCCGAACCGGTCCCCGGCCCGGTCGCCGCTCGCTTACCCCGCCCACCTCATCAGGGGCTTTTTAAAAAAAACTTTTAAAAGCATTTTTTCTACAACCTCTTCAGGCCGAAAACATGCTTTTAAAAGTAAAAAAAAAGAAAGCCTCTGAGGATCGCACAGCTGAGCTGGGATCGTCAGAGGCTCCTAAAAGCATTTTTTTTCTGCAACCTCTTAAGGTTGTAGAAAAAATGCTTTTAAAAGTAAAAAAAAAAAAAAGTTGGCCATGTCCACCCAGTCACATTAACCCCCCCCACCAAGCCACGCCCACAGAATAAGCCACACCCACAGAACCGGTAGTAAAAATTTTTAGAGCCCATCCCTGGTGTAGGTGTCAACAAACACCACGCCTGGACTTCTGATTTGTCTTTGCTTGAGTCAGCTTTTCTCAGTGGCAAAAGGGAAGAAAGGCGGAAGACAGAAAGAGAAGGAATGTTGAAATTCAGAGAGAAGGAACAGTATCTTTCATCCTTCGGGCTTACGGTAACCAGATTTCCAAATGGGGTGTTTTAAGTGCAGAGGACAGGAAGGTTTGGGACCTTCGCAGTCAACCGTTGGACACCAAAACCCCTTTGCACATTGGAGCCAATTTCAGAGAAGGTCCTTATTTTGTGAGGATTCGTCCTTTGCGTCATTCTAAGGAGCCAGCCTTAATTATGTCTTCCTTCTTATGAAAAACAATACTTTCGGGTCACCATGGCAAGGACAGGAATAATGAAGTGATCATACATGAAGTGTGTGTTGTAAAGGAGGGTCTCTTAAAACTCCTCCTCTTCCTCTTTTCTCCTCCTCTTCCTCTTCCATCCTCCTCCTCCTCCTCTTCTTCCATTCTCTACAATCTTCTCCTCCCTCCTCCTTGTCTATGTTCTCCTCCTCCTTCCCCTCTTTGGCTTTTTTTTTCTTCTTCTCCTTATTATGTTCTCCCTCTCCTTCATCTCCTTCTTGCTTATCTTCCCCTGGTCTATATTCCTCCTTCTTCTCCTCTTCTTCCCTCTTCCTCTTCCAAACTCCTCCTCTTCTTCCTCTTCCACTTCCTCTTCCATCCTCCTCCTCCTCTTTCCTTTTCCTCTTCCATCTTCCTCTTCCTCTTTCCTCTTCCTCCTCTTCTTCTTCCATCCTTCTCCTCCTCTTCTATCCTCCTCTTCTTCCATCCTCCTCTTCCTCTTCCATCCTCCTCCTCCTCTTTCCTTCTCCTCTTCCATCCTTCCCCTTCCTCTTCCATCCTCCTCTTTCTCTTCCATCCTTCTCCTCCTCTTTCCTTCTCCTCTTCCATCCTCCTCTTCTTCCTCTTCCTCTTCCATCCTCTTCCTCTTCCTCTTCCATCCTCCTCCTCCTCTTTCCTTCTCCTCTTCCATCCTCCTCCTCCTCCTCCTCCTCCTCCTCCTCCTCCTCCTCCTCCTCCTCCTCTATATTCCCTTTCTCCTACTTTTGGGGACAAAATCATACACTTGTGTTGCCTTCCACCCAAGTTCTTCGCAGACCCTGGGACACAACTTCCACCGAACATGGAAGAATACAGAATATCCCCCCCCCCCCAAATATTGCACCCCTATCAAATCAGACCAATACCAATTTCCGAATCACTCACCTCTGCTGTCCTTTGGATGAATAATTCTATTTTCAGCAGCCTGGAAAATAGGACTTGACATGTTTATCATTTGTATGCAGGGAAATGTAAATCATGACACTGACAAACTCATCCAGGGAGGAAAAAACAACAACAATAACCAAGGTCTAATATCAGGGTAGCTTTTGATTCTGGTGACATCGAAAACCTGACAATATTGAAAGGGACACATCTTTACCTTGGGAGGCTGGTGATCCAATTCGGCATAATTGGATGTCTGCCTCTGAAGCTATAAACATGCCAGGATTTTGAACCTCACCTAGGAAAGAGAAGTGTCCTTCCAAAACCAGTTCCTGTTTTCATTCTCACTTTTTTCCTTTTTTTTCTTCTCCTTCCTTCTCAGGTTCAACCAGTTTTTCTAAAGAGAAAGGAGGAAGGAGAAGACAGACCAACAGGGGAGGAGGAGGAGAAAGAAGATGGAGAAGGAGGAGAAGAAAGAGAAGATGAAAAGGAGGAGGAGGAAGAGGAGGAGGAGAAGGTGGAAGAGGAGAAGGTGATGGACAAGAGGAGGAGAAAGAGGAGCAACAAAAGGAAAAAGAAAAGAGACAAGAAGGAAGTGGATGAGGATGAGGAGAAGAAGGAAGATGAAGATGGGAAGGAGGAGGATAGAGAAAGAAGAGAAGGAGAAAATAGACAAGGGGAAGGGGAAGGAGAAAAGAAAAGAAGATAGGGAAGGAAAAGGAAAAGGAAGAAAAAAGAAAGGCAAGGAAGAGAAGGAGAAGGAGAAAGAAAGAGAAGATTGAAAATAAGAAGGAGAATATAAAGAGGGAGAAGATTTAAAATTCAATATTACCAATATTGATTAGAAATTCCTCTTTTAAACAGTGGCAGAAAGATGTATCTAAATTTATTTGGCAAAATAAAAACAACAACCCAGAATTAAATATTCTACATATGCTACAAGATAGAGGCAGTCTTTACAGTTTTTTTTTTTAAAATCAAGACTGTTAAGACCTCGAGGGTTCTGGTTTGAGATTTGGGTGGGATCAGGGATGAAATCAAGCAGGTTCTGGAGAACCGGTAGCGGAAATTTTGATTAGTTCAGAGAACTGGCAAATATCACTTCTGGCTGGCCCCAAAGTGGGGTGGGAATGGAGATTTTACAATACCCTTCCCCCAGGAATGGGGAAGGAATGGGGATTTTGCAGTATCCTTCCCCTGCCATGCCCACCAAGCCAAGCCACGCCATGCCATGCCCACAGAACTGGTAGTAAAAAAAAATTGGATTTCACCACTGGGTGGGATGCCTATTTGTGGTATGACAAAGTGAATGTTAACTCTGGTTTAAGATTTCTGCTATTAGGCAATTGATTGGATGTGTTTGGTGTAAATGTAAAAGATTAGCTGATAAAATGCCACCCTTGTCTATCACTACATAGAACAGAGGTAATATGCAACGAGCCTTGGTAGTACAGTGGTCTAAAGCACCCTGTTATTAACACCAGCTGTCTACAATTAAAGTAAGATCGAATCTCCCCAGGCTCAAGGTTGACTCAGCCTTCCATCCTTTCTAAGGTAGATAAATTGAGGACCCGGTTTGTGGGGGCAATAAGATGACTTTGTATAAATATACAAAAGTATGAAGGCTATTGCTTAACACATTGTAAGCCGCCCTGAGTCTCCGGAGAAGGGCGGCATATAAATCAAATAAAATAAAAAAAATCAGAATGCAAATGGATGACATATTGATATTTGAAGAGGAGGGATTTAAGATAAAGAAAACAATTAGTGAATGAAGGATTTGCTTGTGATTGGTTTAATTATTACAGAATTTTTGAAAGATTTAAACTTGGTTAAAAAGAAAGTTTTGTTTTCACAGGAACTAAATCTGAATAGGACTATCAGCCATGTTCTGGAGATGTCCACTTGATTTCTAAAGTATATAAAATGTGACTCAGGGTGAATCCCCATTGTGGTTGTAAGTCGAGGAGTACCTTTACGATTATTTTATTTATTTATTTTTTCCATTTATCGTATTTGTATAACCTTCTATCTCATGTGAGATTATGATGAATTTTTGGATAAAGAGTTGAGGAGGGCTGAAGCAAAGGAAATTGGGGACTAGAAACTTGGGTAGGAAAAAAAAAGTCTGGCGTCTCACATGTCATCAAAAATATACAGGTTGTCCTCGAGTTATGACCACAATTGAACCCAAACTTTCTATTGCTAAGTTTAATTGCATGCTAAGTGAATTTTGCCCCATTTTAGGACCTTTCTTGCCACAGTTGTTAAGTGAATCACTGCAGCTGTTAAGTTAGTAACACGGTCGTTAAATAAATCTGCCTTCCCCATTGACTTGGCTAATCAGACGCTTGAAAAAGGGGATCATATGACCTCGGGACACTGCAACTGTCATTAATATGAGACATCTGCCAAGCATTTGAATTTTGATCACGTGACCCTGCAATGGTCGTAAGTGTGAAAAATGGTCAGAAGTCACTTTTTTCAGTGCAGTTGTAGCTTTGAATGGTCACTAAATGCACTGTTGTAAGTCAAGGACTACTGTACTTGCAAAGGTTTTGAGCATCCAGTTCCTGCCGGAAGCAAAAACCCAAAACTAGGAATAAGTTTGGTGGGAGAATAATATCTCCTATTCCCTCCCCCCAACCTCCCCCATTTTTGGCAGCATCTTTGGCTAAATTTACCACCGCTCCCCGGCGCTGAAGCTTAGCCAGAAAAGCTTAAACCAAATGTGTTTGGTTTAAGAAACTTGAAATAGCAATGATAAATAAAAAAAACGCCAGGCTTCTGGATGGTCCGTTGATAGCATGAATATCAACGAACTTGGGAAGAGTCTTGTTTGGGCTGCCCAGAGAAAGGGGGAAAATAATGAAAATTTAAAACGAGCAGCAGAAAGCTGCCAGTATGGAGGGTTTTGCAAAAGTCTATGATCTGTTTGCAGATGAGAGTTTTACCCGTGGTGGCTAAAATGGAGGATTGCGTGCCAAGCGGCTTCGTGGGCACGCTGACAAAATGGATGCCGGGGCGGCCAATGCTCTCTTTCGCTCCCTGCACCTACCTACCTTCCTTCCTTCCTTCCTTCCTTCCTTCCTTCCTTCCTTCCTTCCTTCCTTTCTTCCTTCCTTCCTTCTTCTCTCCTTTCCTCCCTCTTTTCTCTTGTCCCTAACTCTTCCTTTTTCCCTCAATCCCTTTCCATTCCTCTCTCCCTTTCTTCCTCATTCTTCTCTTTCTTCTTCCTTCTCTCGTATCTCTTTTCTACCTTCCTTCCATTTTTCTCTCGTCCACTCCTTTTTTTCCACCCTATCCCTCCCTCCTCTTCTCCCTTTTCTTCTCTTACTCCCTCTCCTTCTCCCTCACTCTCTCCTTCACTTTTCCTTCCTCTCTTCTACCTCTCTCCTCTTTTCTTTTCCCCTCCCTCTTTTCTACTCTCCTCTTCCTCTCACTCTTCCTCTCTCTCTCTCCCCTTCTCCCTCTTCATTTTTCCTTCCTCTCTTCTACCTCTCTCTTCTCCTCCTTTCCCCTCCCTCTCTCCCTTGTTTCTTTCCTCTCCCCCTTTCTTCTCTCCTCCCTCGCTTCTCTTCCTCCCTCCCTCTCTTCTATTTCTCTCCTTCTCTTCCTTTTCCTTCCTTCCCTTTCCCCCCTCCTTCCCCTTTCTCTGACTGCCTGCCAACTCCAGTGGAGTCCTGTGGCCATTGTGGTTTTCTCAACCTGTAAATATATTCACCATTAAGATGCAGGAACAGACTTAAAAGCCCCTGGATTTTTGCCAGTTGATTAGACTACTATTCTTTAGGCTTCTCCCTCCCTCCCTCTCTCTCTCTCTTCCTCTTTCCCTCTTTCTCTCTCTCCTACTCTCCTTCTCCCACCGCCCCCTCTCTCTTTTTCATCTCTCTCTCTCCCCTTTTCTCCCTCTCTCTTCCTCTTTCCCTCTACATCTTTCTCTCCTCTTCCTCCTCCCTCCCCTATTTCCTCTCCCTCCCTGCCCCTCTCTTCTGTCCCCTCCCTCCCTCCCCCATTTCCCTTTCCCTCTCCCTCTCTCCTCTCCCACTCTCCTTCCCCCTCTCTCTTCCTCCCTCCCTCTTCCCATTTCTCTCTATCTCTGTCCCCTTCTCTCTCATCTCCCTCCCCTCTCTCCCTCTCCCATTTCCCTTTCCCTCTCTCCTCACTCTCCTTCCCCCTCCCTCTTCCTCCCTCCCTCCTCCCCACCTTCTCTCTATCTCTGTCTCCTCTCGCCTCTCCCTCTCTTCCTCCCTCCCTCCCTTTTCCACTTTTCCTCTTTCTCTTTTCCTCTCTCACTCTCTCTCTTTCTGCCTTCCCTTCCTTTCTTCTCCCACCCTCCCTCTGTCTCTCCTTCTACTTCTCCCTCTCCTTACCCCTCTCCCTCCCTCCCTCCTTTCTTCTTCTCTCTCTGATCCCTTCCATGCACATATAGAGAAGTCCTGGCCAGAGGCTCATGGCTGGATTGGAATTACTTGGCCTTCGTTATCACTCTGCTGTTTTCTAAATCTCTGCTTTTCAAAGGCAGCACTGAAGTTCCTGAACAACACCCCCCTCACTCCCCCTCCCCCCTTGCAGAGATCAAGGCAGCCCCCTCCCCTCCTTTATTAGAAACCAGCTTTTCTGCAGGCATTTTCAGTCTCTTGGAAGGCTGCTAATTTATTTTGATTTTTTCTCCTGCCGCCTGCATTTTAATTGGACTGTCAAGTACTAATAACAATCATTTTCTTTTTCCTATCTGGATCGTTGATACCAGCCATGAGATCGGGACAGAACACAGAAATCCAGTACAGGTAGTCCTCGACTTACGACCGCAACGGAGCCCAACATTTCTGTTGCTAAGTGTGGCGGTTGTTATTTTACGACCTTTCTTGCCACGGCTGTTGTGAATCCTTGCAGTTGTTAAGTGAGTCAAATGGTTGTAAAGCGGGTCAGGATTCCCCATGGACGTTGCTTGTCAGAGGGTCACAAAAGCAGATCACGTGACCCCGGGACACAGCAACCGTCATAAATATGAGTCAGTTGCCAAGCGTCTGAATTTTGATCCCATGAACCTGGGGAAAACAGTCGTTAAGTGTGAAGAGGGGTCTTCATTGTTTTTGTAAATGGTCACTAAATGATTTGTTGTAAATTGAGGACTACGTGTAAAGCAACAGCCGAGCAGAGGAATAAAATCAAGCTTTCTCCTCACTGGCAAAGCCCAGACGCTTCCTTGCGGAAAAACAATAAAGAATGAGATTTCTGATTTTTCCTTCCATGCTTTCTTTCTCCATTGAGTTGTAACCTTGAAATGTTTTCGATTGTAAAGAAACGCCTCTGGCTGTATGCAGGGCCCAGGAGCATAGGAAGGAATAAAGGCTCTGATTTCTAAAGCCAGCATGTGGTTTTGTTTGCAATATA